TCAAACGCGCAATTATGTCACCACAAAAACGTGGTGCAATTAGAACTAGAAAACGTTCAGAAAAAAGTGAAAGAAAATTAAAAAAATATATAAAAAAGTTAACATTCAATATTTGTGTATATATGTACATGCGTTTATAGAAAAAAAAGTCAAATACATAAAAAAAAAATAACAAATCGTAAATGCTGATGGAAAATAAAGATGAATCGTTCTATGCGCTTACATACATACACATCTATCTAATCGCTATGAATTCATCTTTTTACTTGAAGGCGCATCCAGTGAAAAGCGAACGCTCGTTGAATTCGGCTATATGGAAGGATGTAACTACAAACATTTTTATACTCACTTTCATTCTGTGTATTTTACATTCGAATTTACACATAGTATATGTACATATGTATATGAAAGAATTTAGAATGTTCCGCATGACTTAATCTCCGATCAGTTAAAGGCTAAACGATCGATTAATATGACAGTTTGGACTTCTCTGCGTAGTACAGGTGTGTGAGTTTGAATTAAATTTATTTTTTTTTTACAAAATGCCATAAGGCGGTAAGTAGAGTGAATCGGCCACAGAGGTGTATAAAGGGTATGGTTTTCAATAAGAAATAAAATGCAGATAATTTTATGTTGTGTCAAAGAATTTAGCTTTGTTAGAATGAGAGAGGTTTGCCTTTATGCTTTAAAAATGAATTTTGTCAAAGTCGACCACTGCACCGCATCAAATATTCTTATCTGCGCTGACAAGCGACTTAACATATTCTCACAAAAAAATAGTCCAGTGATGTTGAATCGCACGATCTGGGAGTGAGTTTGATCGCAGAACAAAGTTTTCTTGCAAAAATCGGGACCGCTGACCATCTGATTTTGGGCCGATTCACCTCCAATTATGGCGAATGGACTCATTCAAGTCTACTTCGCTGCTCTGCATCATCGGAGCGCACTGCACGATGGTCCTTACTTTACCACACTTCTAAAAAAAACACCAAATATTTGTGAATATTTTTTCTCAACATATAGTTTTGCTTATATAACTACTAATTTTGGGGAGAAAATAGAAACTAATCGGCTCAGAAGGTTCTTTAAAATTTACTTAATTTCTTTAAAATGTACTTAATTTCAGCAGTAAAAGTGAGAACCGAAAATTTAGATATTAAATGCTTTTAAGTCCTTTTGAAATCAATTCCGCTACCTTCAAAGATCGCGCAGACCTCTTCTCTGCAAACGGAATCTTCTCGATAAATTGCACTGAAATTTCGCAGCTTTCATTTGAATTTCTTATCCGTGCATGATTTTACTTAAAAATGATAAAAATACTAATCAATAAGTTTTTTTATAAGTCGATAACTGCGAAAAAAATTTAATACGAAACTGCGCTGTTTTTCATTCCTTTAAAAATTTTTGAAGAAATTTACGTACTTTTCTTTTGTTATATTAGCAAATTCCGCGTTTTGTGACGAAAAACAATTTTTGTATTTTTTTCAGTTTCTCCTCTGTTACTTGTTGTTTTCATCTTCTTTTCCTCTTTTGTCTGCCACTGAAACCATAGTTCCCCCGCGAACGCCTCGTACTTTTCGCTGTTCATCCACAAATGGTTTGACACCCGCAACAAAAACAACTTCAGCTCAAAATGGCTCGAGTCAAGTGGAGTTGTGTCAACAAAAAGCCCAAAAGCCACGGAAAAGGCAATGTACAACAGCTTCCGAGGTTTTTTATTATTTTATTTATTTCTTTTTTTGACAAACTTTATTTAAAATTTTCTACAAACAAACATTTGCACTATATATAAACATTTGTATGTATGCTGGTGTATGAGTTAGTGCAAAAAACTGTGCAGTTAAACACTACTTTAGCATAATAATGAGATCTTTTGCGATGCTCATACTAAGTCTGCATTGACTCAGCTTGGGTGCGAATTTAATTGAGAATCAGCAAGTGACGCAAATGAAGCAAAGGCGACTTAAGAACACAAGGTATAACACCAAATCTGGACAAAGCGAAATGGTGAGACATTTTTTTTAGCCCACGACTAGTAGTACGCCACAACTGCGGAGACCAAAGAAGGGCTTTCAAGTTCAAAATTAAGTCAGTCTTATATTAACATATACTTGTGTATGTATATTTGTATAGAGAAATGTAAAAAAAAGTGCGATCGGCTTCTGCTTCTTCCTTTTTATTTTTGCTATAACTCAAAGATTAAAACTCTTGAGCTGTTGAGTACATTTCACGCGCTGTAAATGGAGAATGACAGAGTTTTGGTTACTTTCATTTTTATTGTGTTACTCTTTAGTTCTTATGTCACTCTATGCCTTTGAAGTGTTTCGTTATTCTCGCTTATGTTTGGCGTCATCTTTAATTCACTTGATTTCGCTGTTTATTGTGTCGTGGTGCGCACTTGAAAATCACCCGCAAGCTGCAATAGTCGCTTCAACAGCAATTCGATGAAGTTGTCGCTGTTGTTGTTGTTGCAATGGCGCATTATCTTCATTTTCATAAATACTTTTTTTTTAAGTTTCTTTCGGGGAGAATTCCTTTGTCGCATAAAAATATCAAAAATATATTAATTTACACCTAATCGACGATTTCACTCAATATGATGGCGCTAATATTATTCAATACAAAAACTATGGTGGAATTGATCGAAAGAATTATCGATAATGGCGGCACGATTAACCCGACTATTAACACAAATGAAGCCACCATTTTTTGTTTATTAATCAAATAATTGACCAGACACACACTAGGCATATATATATATGTGCATATACATATATGTATATGTATGTGAAAATGTATGTGAAATGTGCATGAAGTATTTATAAAAAATATACCTGAAAAAAATACGTTGAAAACGTAAACGCAACAAACCCTAAAAACCATTCCAAACAAAAACAACATTTACCAGAATTGTCCACACAAATGTCCCAAAGCGGTTGTCCCTATGGACTGCGGCCGACAGTTGACATTTACGTGTACAAACATCACTAATACATACATACACGTATATGTATGTGTATGGATTTCAATAGAAAAAGTTGCATGTGTCTCAATCGATCATTAGGCGCGTATATATGTATATACGCAAATGCATACATATACATATATATAAAACAATGCTACAGAAAAAAAATACAGTATCGTGTACAAAATGTCCTTCATTACATTACACCAAAAACACGATTGAGATAAAAATCTTTATTGGTCCTGCTCCGAGTGTTACAGCAGAGCGAATGGGAAATGGCAAATAAAAATGTTGAACATAAAAAAAACTCTGTTTTTGAGTTGTGAGTTAGAAACTCACGTGAGACAGTTTCTCAACGAATGATACAATAATTCGCTCAACTAAACTGTACGTGTTTATGTACAAGTTTTGTCTCACGAAAAACGAGACTGTGCAAAAGTAGCACATTTATACTCTCAAATATACGAATTTCCCCGTATAACGAAACGTGTTTTCAAAACGAACTTCAAATCAAGCGTCAAAGTGTCGAAAGAAAGAGTTTACTAGACCTTGTACTAAACAAATTAAATTTTTTGATGCAGGGGACCCTCCATAGTCAGTTCGAAGCCTATCTCATTGCCTATCTTCGCCATACGGCACCAAGTAAATGTAAATTCTTCTTTTTTCAGGCGGTGTTTTCATCGCCGCTTTACGTAGGGCGACCACTGTTGTTCAGCAAATGTTTTCGAATAGGTCAATGGGAAGGTTCGGTAGTAATTACAAGGTTGGTGATTTTGGTTTTATATCATTTTTCGATGTGAAGAGAGTCGCCAAATATGGATGAGGCGATTCAAAAAAACAAGCACCGATATTTTGAAGACGATAGATGCATACATATAGCCCTCAATAACATTTTACCAACGCTCTGCGATAAGTATCAGTTCAGCCCGGGAATTCGTTAGTATTTTCTGAAAATACACATTCTTCGGATAACTGTTTTATACATAATTTCAAACCTTCAAATTGTTTTCAATAACTTTAATATTTCTAAATCAAGCTTTTGTTGCTATCTACTGAATATTTTAAAGTCCTTCGTTTTGAGGTTTTATCTAGAGAAAAAATTGTTTGAAGTATAAATTTCTAGAAGAGTTAAACTCAAGAACCCTTTTCGAACTTGATTTTTAAGAGAATTCTCCAAGTAAGGGCCAAATGAATTTTTAGGCGGGAGTTTTGAGGTAAAAAAAATTATGTTTTTGCACTCAAATATTTTCATCACTCTACCCTTTCGGAAACTACTCTCTACATAAAAACTTTGGCAAGCCTTAAAATTATCGTGCTAATTTGTGCTGTTACTACCAACCGGATGATTTACGTAATCTAATCGATCCCGTAAATCGTTGTGTCCAAGCTGTAAAGGCAAATTTTGAAAAAAAAAAAAATTTGGAAATTTAAATGGGATCGGTCTCGTTATTCGTAGATTGCGCCTTGTACCTAAGCATATACTTCATTGAGCAAAACTTTTTTGGCTGACATCTTGATTATATGTATATACATATATGTATTTTCAAATGTAAATCGCCTGCAATTGTCACCCAAAATGTATTCGTTGGCGTGTCCAGCAGAACACAGGAAACAGTTTTCTTTCAAATACAACTCGCATGTCTGCCGCTCGATTTAGCCCAACAGAGGTCAATTGGTAGTTTTAAGTTCAAGCGATTTTTTGTGATCACTCTCCTTTATCTGTATTTGTATCTGTCTGTATGCATGCCCATAGCTTTGAACCGCAGCTTATTTACTTAACTTCGCTAATATTTACTTATTGGTGCTTATTCTTATTTGCATTGGCTTTTGTTTGCCACTGCGCCCGGTGCGAGCGACGCTAAATATTTGTCCACTACTATTTGTTTACTCTACTGCTATTGTGGAAAACACATTTCTCTTACTTCAGCTCTTTACTACTATTCGCTAGTTTTACTACAATTTTATACTCTTTTGTTTCGCGTAGGTACGAAGAGTCTGTATCTCTCTGTCCTATTATTATTGTAGGGTCACTTACCATCTTTTGGTGGACTCGAGCAGGGCGGCGCATAACTGCCTAAGTGATAGCCGGAATATGAATTTTGATGCATTGGCGGGAATGGGTAACCTAAGGCGCTGCGTGGACTGGGAAATCCCGAGTCTTGACCACCTTGTGGGCCAAAGTGTTGATAGCCACCGCGTATGCCGCCGTAACTGTAAATAGAGGAGTAAAGTTAAACAATTAAAATTGGGGAAAATATTAATTTAAATAGAAAATTTTATAAAAAACTGAAAAATATAAAATACCAAAAAATGTAGATCTACATCTAAAGATGCTTTTTGGGTTCTTGATTTTGAGAAACATCAGTTTGCTGTCGCCAAACCTCGCGTTTTTGTTCTCTCTGATATAATAAAGTTATCTGCTTTTGAGATACGCAAGAACAAATGGTCGGTGCAAGTCTTTTCAGCTCGAATAAATCCAAATGATTGACAAACCAAAGCTCAGCAAGAGGTTTGTTACATCCTATTCGGCTTCTACAGCAAAAATCAAAAAAGAGTCGGGGATATGTCACGTAGTCAATATTCTTTCTTCTTCTTTACTAGCGAAGACACTGCTTACGCGATTATAATCGAGTTGGCCACAGCGTGGCATTCATTCTTTCCTTTTGCTATTTGGCGGCAATTGAAATTATCAAATATAGCGAAATCCTTCTACCGGCGGGGGCTGCATAGAAAATTTTCTATGCTGGAGTGTACTCATCCATTTCTACATTCTCTGAACTCTGCAAATACCGCCATCCATACACCTCGTACAGCTCATCGTTGTATAGGCTGCGGAATTCTCCATTCCCACCGCACAGAGGACCATAGATCTTACGCAGACTTCTCCCCGGAAAACTACTTACGCCGACCGATCACATGTTGTCATCGTCTAGGTCCCTGCGGCTTTTAGAATTTCAACTTTGTACGACGAGAAAGGACTTAACCTTTAAATTACCTACTCAGCCCGAGACAGCACCTGTTCGAAAGTGTGATATTGACTTGGATTTCTAGTTGTTGTTGTATGTGCGACTTCAAAATTATGGCTGAAACAGTGACGTGGAAGCGATGAAAACCCAAACTTTCTCTTCACCCTTGATACAATAAAATATGCACTTATTCGCTAACTGTATTACTGATAGCAAAACACACATGAGCTCTTTCGTCCTCAGCGTATCAGAATGTCTCCATTGCGATGATCGAGCCTTAGTTTCAACGTTATATCGGTGTTGCGACACGATTACGCTCTGCCGTTGGCTCCATTGAGGCAATTCCACGCACCGCTGGTTTGGTTCAAAATTAAATAATTTTGGAGAAAATTTTGAAAAAATGTCATGACATGATAATATCGAAATGCCTATTGCTTTTCACACTTTCCACTCTTACATCGGATGTTGATGCGCCGGGCATCATCGTCTGCGTAGCTTTCTTGGAATAGCTTATACCGCTCAAAAGTTATTACTATTCCACAAACTTTGTTATACTTTATGCCATTTGCAAAGCGAAATTTGAAAAGACTTCTTTTATTCATTTCTATTCGCCAAGTCACAGTTGAAGTCAGCAATGAAAACAGCAGAAAGTTGGTACATACGTCAGGGGCATACATATATACCAACATACAATGTTTAACAAACGGACTTTCCAAGCCCACAAAATTTTAAATTTCTTTTTATATTTTGAACACACCTCGTTTATGCCGCTTTTTAGTAGTCTCACAAGTCGCCACAAAGTATTTGAATAATTTTCTAGTTCAGATTTCGAAAAGTTTACTTATCTTTAATTTAGATTTTGTAAACAAACTATAATTTTCTATTAAACTAAACTAAACTTTTGTTCTGTCAAGTCATTGAATGTTCGTCACAATACATACATATGCATTTGGAAAGTTTTCTTTTTCATAAATTCATGCATAATTTACAAGTAAACTAAAACTTTATTATGACTTCATCAAGCTGGCTTGCGAGCGGAATTTTATAAAACTTCTGCGCTCGATTGCCTACTAATAAATTTTCAAATATGACAGTTGGGAAAAATCAATGCATAGAGAGACATGAAGTTACAAAAACTAATAGAAATGGACATAGTTCTATATGTACATATAATACATAAATATGTATGCCCTATCGTATTTAAGTACTTTTGAAAACATATATACACATAGGTATATATATACGAGTATGTATATATGCCTGCTTTCAAAACCTTTCCCACAAAGTCCTTCTTTTATGAATAAGTAAATATTGTAGTAACACCTCGCGTATTCAATAAAACAATTGTGGGCGTCCTAGAAAAGAAACTTTGGAAAATGACAGGGTCCTGCCGTGTAGCGGACAAGGCGGCAAACACATGGGTCAACCGCATGAAATTCTCAGCGTCATCCGGTGACCAACTGCTGTTTTGAAATCAGAAGGTGATTGTTTGCTTTTGAATTTTTGGTTTATAAACCTTGTGGTTAATACAAACTTGTTATAACGGTATATAAAAAAATAAAAATAATTTTTTTACACTAAAAAAACCAACAGTAAAACTCATGTTTTAGGCATTTGACAGCTAAAACTATAATAATTAGAACCAAAATAAATATAATAAGACAAACGCTAACAAAAATACATTTTACTTACATAAATATACATATGTATGTACATATGTATGCATATCTACAAATACTCCTCTATGAGTTCATCAACTTTTGTTTTCTGTTTATTGATTAGTCGACTTTTAGTTTGGCCATTTTAAAGTCTCAAGTCATAAACTTGAATATATCGTATGTACATATGTATGTATGTTGTTTTCATATACTTTTTGCTTTTATTATTTATTATTATTATTTTTTGCTTCACAAATATCTACGTCATTACTAACGCCATGTTGCCCGCAGGTTTGGCCAAAATTTTTTGATTCTTTTGTTTTATGTTTGAATTTGTGTGGTTTTCAAATGAACATTTATACCTATTTTTGCTCAAAAAAAATAGCGAAACACGGAAACGGAAGCGTCATCAGCGCTCACGCACACAAATGGCCGCCGAATATATATACCTACATACATACGTGTATATACATACAATATACATTCATATATCTATCTATATGTATATTATGTATAACCGAACCACTGTTTGTCTCTACATTTGCTTGTTTCTACAAATGGTGGCACAAACATACATACATATGTTGTCATTCGTTTGCTTATAGAAAATGAATGTGTATAAATATATTAAATATGGCTATGTGACAGCATGTGTATGTGTATATACCATAGAGCAAAACATTTTTTTTGTGCAGCCCACCAACAGTAACATAGCCGACGTGCAATCGCATGTTTGTTGTTGTACATACACCTCGTCGTCTCTGGCCCAACCCGAAAACCACAAAATGTCTGCTTGCGGTTTATCACATGCTCGTTTGTGCTTGTATGTATGTACATATGTATATGTGTTTGTATTTATACTTTAATATTGCAATAACATTTTTTTATTATTATTATTTCCATTATTCACAAATTTTACAATTAAATTTTTTTTTTTTGCATTTTATCATATGCAATTAATTGATTGTATTGCAATATAAATTGTATTGTTTTTCGAGAGCAAATCGGAAATTATTTTCATGGAGAAGTTAAGTCTATATAATGCTTGAATATTGTCCTTAGGACTTTATGTTGCTCTTAAAATTTTTATTATGTTTTTTTTTTGTGGCATCGGCAGCAAACCAGGTGTGTGATATTGGAAAATGGTTTTCAGAATTCATTAATTCTTATTTATCCCCGCTTTGAATCAATTCTCTGTTGGGGTAAAAATAAGATTAAATACTTTTTTTTTTTTTTTTAAATAAATTCTATCAATACACAATTGTCATGTCAGATTTCAAACTAAAACGACTACATAGGCCTATAAAAAATGTTGTCCGCCTATTTAAAATTTTCGTCCATATATGTTCTTAGTGTTATGAAGCCGAAAAAATGTTCAAAGAGTTCTAGAGAGTCCGATTATATTGCGGTACCCAAGATTTTGTTATAAAAAGGAGTGTTTGGACTGCAGCTCGCTCAATCAGGTCACATTTAGGTCACAGCTCGAGACTCTGACCATATGTATGGTACTGTGTCTTATTAACTACTCTGCTAATGCTTTGTCCATCACTATCATTACTTTGAAAAGAGTGAGAACTCCTTGTCAACAATCTTCAACATGTTATATTGATAGATTTAGTAAGATACTTGAATTTTGCCAAAAACTTTACTGAGTTGCTAGCATCAAGGTTCAAAAGCAGGAACTTTTGCCAAGAGGACAAGCTGGTTTATTGTACCAAAACTGAAGATTTGCATGAGACATTTAAGAGCCCATAAGACATAGATTTGTAGGTTTATCAAAAAAGAAGCTTATGCCAGTTTTTCTTTATGCTTCCATTCCTCCCTGTCATTCCGTATACTTCAAGAAAATATACAAGAACTTGGAATTGGTTCTTTGCAAATTAAAACAACAATCCCCTGGTTGGGAGGTGTGCAATGATTTAAAAAACTCTTGGCAATATTATTATTATTTAAGACGGCTTAGAGCTAATATTTAATTTATCACAAACATGATGGAACCTAAAAGAGAAGAATGAACAAAAGCTATCCAGAGGACTTGGATAAAATTTTAGACAATAAGGAAGAGACGACAAGCAAGTCAGCAAAATAATGTTAGAAGCACTTTGGGTTCCCTAATGAGTTCAAAGACCAAATTTTTCATTTTCATCACGACTATTTTTCAAAAGTTTTAGAACGATGAACGAATGAATTAAGGCATAAACGGGACAGAAAAATCTGTCAAGGAAGACGAAGCATTCAATGTTGACACACTACTGTTGTATACTTCAGAGAGCATTCAGATATTTTCTACAAACGAAAATGAACCAGAAACAGTCGCACTGGGGAAAAGATGATTTGCGCAAGAAAACCGTAACAATTCTCGTATTTGTTTGAAAACTGAGTTAAAAAAAACATAATTATTTTGACGAATAAAATATTTTCAGTTCATTGCTTTTACGTTTATTGATGCTTAGGTGTCTCGAAACACATTTCATTTAATGCACAACTTCATCAAAGGCGAAAAATCGATAAAACTTATGTCAAACAAAATCTATCGAAATTTTGGGTCTCTTTAGTGCCATCGTCAATTGCATTTATTGAGTCAAAGAAAACAAAATCACAACATACAAAAACACCCATGCATACGTACAAAATTACATTAACGCATAAAAATAATTAAGCACTTCCGCCCATACAATGATTTGCAGCGAACGCGAAAGGAAGCAAAATTCTAATCGAAAATACGAAATCAAAAAAGTCAATGAAGGCAGACGGACATTTAGTGTCCGCTACTCAAATAATACATATGAAGGTACATATGTATATACAAAACTACATACGCGTGCATAAAGTAGGCATATATTATATATATGTACACATACATATATTGTAGTTTAAGACTCACATTCATTACAAATAAATCACGCACAGAATATTTACAACAATTTTAATTGAATCTACGCCACGCTACGTACATTTCCGTCACATAAACACGCATATATACACTCGTACATTTTTGTAACAAAATTTCAAAAAAAAAAATAAAATAAATACAAACGCATACGGGCATAGCAATTGAGAAAAAAGCATATGAGCTGAAAGAAAAAATCAGGGGCACTCATCAGCAAAAGTTCATAAATTTAAACGAATTTTTATGGCGCGAATGTGAGACATAAATATTACAACATACATATATGTTAACTAGTGCAAAGATCCATACATACATATATACATACTTATGTGTATCTAACAAAATAGATAGCATTTAGTTTATTTATATGTATTAAAAATAGCAACAAATCTTTACTATAAGCAAAGTAGGGTTTATTGAATTGAAAATGTGTTGGTGTTGGTGCGGGCGGTCACCATCGCTTAAATTTTAGTACTTCTCCGTTATATTTCTTTTGGTGCCTTTTCATAATTTTATTATTAATTTACGCGCATTTCCGGTATACATATTTATATATATACAATACATAGCTATACATAATTGCTTTTGAGGAGTATTATGAGGAGTTCTATGCGAGCTAATGTCTTATACCAATTTTTAATAAGAAATTTATTTAACAAAGTAACTTATTTTTTTGAAAATACATATTAATGAATCTAATGATTAATAATTATTCACAAAAATAGGTATATTAAATATTAATATTTTCTTTAAATTGAAAATAAATTTTTAAATATAAAATTTTTTAGTACAACAAAAGTTAATTTTTTTTTGAGTAAACAAAACTTTTTAATAATAAATTGGGCCAGATTTGCACCTATAAGTACTTTATATTAATAAAAAAATAATAATAATTTAATTTGAAAAATTTAAACAATTTTCTTTTTGGATATTTTTTTTTTCAAATTTCCATTAAATAAAATGATCTAAAAAAGAATAACTCGATGTTCAGGCAATACAGTAAATGCCTGAGAATATCTGGTTTAATGCAATATTTGAGCTCAGCCACAAAAGCCGAGTGGCTAGTATTGCGTAGTGCCATTCTGAAGGAAAGGTTAATCCGAAATCCAAAATTATAGAAAAATACTTTTTTATTTGCGGTTGTCCCTCGGTAGAGATTGTCAAATCCTCTTACATAAAATAAAAGTTTATCTGAAAATTCCGACGGTCGGTTATTGAAAATATGTACATCAAATAGCATACCACAAATCGGCGGAGGAGCTCGGCCGAAAATCGCTTCAGTGCTTACAAAGCCCCAAATATATGTATGTAAATATATGTGTTTATTTCTAAAAATTACGTTTTGAAGTTTTTTTTGAGTTAACAATTTGATAGCGCAGTAAATGTGCGCTTTCTTTAATTCCCCACTCAAACGAAACCCAACTTGGCTCAACAAACCACCACAGCCGCCTGCCGTTGGGGGAGTGCCGTCGTGTGATAACCTTGTGCGCTTTTCTTTGGTTGGTCACTTTGCTTCTCTGGCCAAAATGTCGTTACTCATTTGTCCAATGTCGTAATGCGTTGCTGTATTTTTCATTTCACGTTGCTCTTTTTGCTTCATAAATCTTGCTGCCTGTGTGTGGTACTAATTCTTCATGCCAGCGCCTGCGCCAATGTTTTGCCACTGATTCTTCACTGATAAGGAAATTATTAAGCATATTTCATTATTCTCGTTTGCTCTTCTATGCAAAAAATATATGTACATCTATATACATATAAATAAGTTCGTAAGTATGCATATATTCTTCAACGTCCAGCTAATTTGTCATTCTGACAGGGTGTAATATATGCAAAAAAGCAATAAGAAAGAGTGCAGAAACCCTACCAGACTGCAATTTGAAAATGAAAGACAAATAATTTCAATTCTTTCCTTATCCTACTGCCGTAAGTGCTTGAAAATTTTTTAATTACCAATAATTGTTTTGTTGCTTTTGAGCAGCGGCGACAATTTATTTTAAGTCAAGATTTCGTCGTCAAGATATTTTTTAATGTGAATGCACTTACATGACACGTACGGCGTTTTCAAATAAATATCTCACTTTGGCAGTTTTTTAAGATATATTTTGATGACCGCAGTAGCTTACCAGATTGCGTTTTAACATTCGGGTGGATAGGATTCGAGTAGTGGTCCAATCAACATACAAAATTAAAGGAAAATAGTATTTCTAATCGCGGTCGCGCCTTGGCAGGTAATGTCAAAACTCTCATGGGGTAAAAAGAAAACATAAACCGTTCAGAGGCTGCTTAGAATAAACCGTAGAATAACCCATTTGTGGGGAAAATATCAAAACGTACAATAAAATTTATTTGTTTAATTTTATACGATATAAATATTATATAATATATTGGCATAACAGCGCCTTAAGTTCTTTTTTCCATCATTTGCTTTTTCGGAATTGACGAAATTTTCACAAATTTTTAATTTTCAGTAAACGAAAAAAAAAAATTTTATGGCCTTGAAAAAATTGAGTTTAAATAGTGGTATCTAACACTCGCTCGCCCACGAGAGAAACATATTTGTATATTTCCTGAAAACCAATAGTGCCCCAGAAGGTCACATAATCTAGGCTTATTTTCCTGGCGGTGGATCTAGTGCTCTCAACTCTAAACGCACAGTCTTCATTACTGTTTAACTCTCCTCCAATATACTCTGGATGAGCAGCCACGTACCAGACATTATTCTTAGATGAAGAAATACTGGTTGGAAAATTAAATCCCAAATAACATCTTATCCCTTACATCGAAAAGGGTTAAAATCCAAAACATACTATAAACTCAATTCAAAAAAATTATTTCGCCACATAAACTCAGAAGTTTCTCTTTAAAGATCTCATTTTGTTTGAGCCCTTGAATAGAACTGCATCCGAAGTTGAAGTTAGCATTGCTCTCTTTTACACCAAAATTAAACAATTGGATTCATGAGACATCTAAAAGCACATGAAAGCTCTTTATGAATGCTGAAACTCGAATAGTTGCCTAGTGTTGATAAAGCCGAAATTAGGTTAGAAAATAAAAATCATCGTTTTTTTGCTGAGCTTCCCCTCAGATTTGATTCGAGGTTTTGCCTATGATTTTTCGCTGTCTAGGAAGGACTGACTGATTTCTTTAAAAGCCGTAAATTTTAGGAACAATATTCTTTTAAAGATATTGTTAGCTCCAGCTAAGGGGCTATCGTGTTTAGTATTTGGTCGTACCTATTCGATACTACATCCGCTTATCCCAACTAGGCAGCGTTTTTCGCTCATCTCTAAAAAAAAAACTTTGACTTTTTTGTAAACTTTTTTAATATATTTTTAAGACATTTTTATCGAGTTATTTTGAGAATTTTCACAACACCTGCCACATTAGTGCTTTTCATATTTTTGTATGAATTTTTAATAAATAGTCATTAAAAAAGAGAAACAAATTGTTTCCTCACCCAGCGGCGGCATGCTGTTGCAGCTCCACGAATGCCGATTTGCCCGGTATCTGTACGCCCGGTGTGCCGGTTGTTGTTGTACCGCCATCCATATATTTGGGTGTGTGTGGTGCATCGGGTGCGTCCATGCCGGATTGTGGTGTGCTGGGAGGCCCCTCATAGGGGCTCCCTAAATCGGTGAAGTTGAGCGTGTTGGCGCCTATCGAGGCCACTTTATCAAGAATTTTGACGGCTTTTTGGGAACACGTGCACAAGAAATGTAAACTAGGTAGGTATGTATGTTGTGGTCTATAGAAATCACTGGGCTTTCGCTGACTTTATTTTGTTTAAATTTATATAAATATATTTTTTTAATATAATAATAATTTAACACACGAGCAATTTAATAAAGTGAGTAGAATTATTATTATTTTTTATTTTTTTTCAAGCTTCTATTTATAGCAAATATTTTTTTATCTAAATATTTAATTTACTTCTTCTGGTATTAATTACTTTTAGTCAATATCAGTTAGTATTTCCGCGCGTTCTATTCTTTTTAATTTTTAATTTCTTATTTATTGTAAACAATGACACGCACTTTGAGACAAACACGTACTTTCAAATCTTTAAATACACCAACAAGGCTACAACAGCACAGTACTACCACTACTTTTCCATACAAACACTTTTAATTAGCGTTTAATTTGTGTCATTTTACTTTCCGCACTGCAATTAGCGATTTTCTACGCGACGGCGATCGCGAACGCTCCGCAACGAAAGCTTCCTGCGATTTATATGTACATATGTATATTGTATGTATCTGAAAATATTATGTACGCATATGTATGTATGTATGGGTGATATGTTTTTGGTAGTATTTTTTAATTGGTAGCGCGGGCGGCAGGCTCGCAAACTTGGCTGTTTTGGGGAGAGAGAAGGTCGGTTTATTGAGTTGGCCGAGCAGTTTGCTGCACACGTGAGTTTTTGCGGCGATTTAATTACTTGCTATTGGCCCGATAATTAATTTATTTTTGGGCTCAGCCGAGAACTTCAGTCCACGATAGCACTTGGTGATTGGACTGAACCTTAAGTTGTGCATAGGGTTTTAGATAATTGGGATTTTGATATAAAAATTTCACTATTTCTATTTTTTTTTCTCAAACTTTAAAAATTTCTGTTTTTAATATTTGCAGTTTTATATCACGTTCTTATCATTCGAACTTTTCACAAAGTGAAAATATGTTTTGAAATTTCTTTAATTCCTTAACTTCTCTGTTCTCTTTAAGTTTTTCAATTCAAGTCAATTGAATCACATCAATTAATTAAACGATTTTTTAATGAGCCAATAAATACTATTTATTATTTTTGGCTCCAAAACTTTTTAATTTCCAATTATATACAATTTTTTTTTTTAACTCAATTTGTTTTCAAATTAATATTATAAATTTTTATTTCTTCATTATTTAAATTCTCGAAAATCCGGCGAATAAAAATTACGCAAATTTCCAATCTTAACACGACGGCACCGCAACGACGGCGTTTGCACTCGTTAAAACGCGTTTTGAATTTTTCGAGTTACTCAGCCACCACATACAGTAAAATCCACCCGTCGATTCGAAACACTGCGAACAATTTGTACGCGCGACCAACCACAAACAAAGTGCGTGAACGACTAGGTACGAGGTGATTATGTGATCATTTGCTGCGCCACAAATGCGCCACTGTTGCTCGCTCCAATACGATGTTGGTGTTGACGACGACGACGACGACGGCGACGAAAACGACAACAACGCCAGTGGATACGATAGCCAGCAGTCAGTAGTTAGCCAACAACCAGCCGGAAGACCGGCTAAGCAACGCTTGTTGTACTGGTACTGGTTTTACTCGCTACTGCTGCTGAGCGCTGCAGCACATTTTGTCGCTTGTCGCTGTCGCGTGTGCAAGTGAGTCAACTAAAGCTAACTGCCATAAGTGTGTGTGAATAAGTCACCATCTTCGGACTGGAAAAACCAGTTAAAACATATTCCAGTTAGCCACACTGTCCGTAGGTAAGCAAAGTGTGCACTCTACTCGCCAGTCTCACTCACTCCATCTGGGCATTGCTGTTTACTCATTTGGGCAATTAGCCAATCGGATGTGGTGTAGAAGAGAAACAGTTGTTCACTGAGGCGGCGGAAATACAGTTGTTGTGAGTGCAAAGAGCGCCAACGTATAGCGAGTTGAACCGGTTCTTTGCGACATGGCGCATGGCCTTTGGCTTCAATTCTATCAACTATCTATGCATAGCTCATTTAAAAGACTGGTATCTCTCTTTGGTATACAGTGTATACCTTGTGTGCTCTCTTCTTTAGTTGATATATGTTTTTTTTTACTTTGCCCTTTATTTCTCAAAGCAGACTCGTTGTTGTTGCATATTTTTTCAACTTGGCATGGGTGCCTTGTGCACAGCCCATAGTACATACATGGGTTTATGTTGCTTATCTGCTCGCTTATTGTTGAGGCGGAGTTATAAAAGCTGCAGCAATGAAACCCCCTCTCCCGCTTTGTAGACAACAGCAGCAAGCCTGACGCAACCTGTCGTCTTTTGGCACCTCTCTCTTGCTATACCCTCCCTGCCCAACATGTCTTACCCAAGCACCCCATCTCAGCTGAATTTGCATTCACTTCAACAGCTTTTCTCACCTTTCCGACAAACGCAGTCACAGTCGCTACCACTCTGCCACCCAAACACTAACTGGCATTGCGCCGTCACAACACATTTGTATACACATGTACACATCTACTTGGTGTTTGCATTGTTTTAGTTTTTTTGTGGTTACTTTGCCATTTTGGCTTTCGGATTTTGCTCTCAACTCGTCGACGCTCGTTGTTGTTGGCCTTTTCATTGCGGACTTATGCAAATTTGGAATGAATATTTACGCGATTTGCCTGAATGTTTTGATTGTAAGTGCAAATATTGTGACACGAGGGAGGGGGAAATGAATAATACAAATTTAGAAAAAAAAAAACTCCAAAAAACAATTCAAAGTGCAAAACGTAAAAAAAGGAGCAGGGAAATATGAAATATCTAAAGATATTCATAATTAAAAGTCTGTTCGTTTAAGATACGTAGCATATTTTGCTATTTAAATATTTTATCACTTTGTTGTTGCCCCAGCATAAACTTTATTTGATGTGTTAATTAAATGCGGACGGGCGCCATGCAAATAATTTGATGATTGTTTTTATCATCATAAGCATGCATGTGTGTGTGTGTGTGTGTGTGTGTGTATGAAGATATGCGTGCTGATATGTTAGATGGTTTTCATGGCGATACAACAAGTATTTGCAGATAGAAAATAGTGTTAAGTGCTCATTTGATTATTGTTTACCTATAGGAATTTGAAAAATGTGGCCTTTAATAATTGATCCCTTAAAAAAATATATATTCACATATACATACATGTACATGTAAAATTGCTTCTCTCATCCATTTTCTGCATTGGCCCAATTTTCCATTTTCAGCGAATGCATTATTAAATAACAAATTATCAACGCTTAGACATTTTTGGGTCAAGTTTTAAATCTGATTTGTGCTGAGGATTAGTACAAATGAATCTGAATCTTTGTGGATGTTTCGAAAAATTGAATTATATAATATTTGGAATCATACATACATATACATATGTATTACATTATATATGAAAGTATGTAGCGCTTCAATACGATTAGTTAGCAGTGGCTGCTAGCATGCGGAAGTTCTTGGTTTCGTATATTTTCTACATAAACTCCAAAACATACAATTATACTAGTCGCGCCTCGGCAGGATATATCACACCCTTCGGGTGTGAGTAACAGCATCACACATCTCCCCCGTGTACTTTATGTACTCGTATATATCTTGGTGTCTCTTGGTTTTGAATTGTGGTCCAAAACTTGGCGGTGTGCAAAGTATTCCCGAAAGGAGCGGGATTAATTTTGGTCGAGAAATCATCCGTTTTTTTTTTTTTGAAAAACCCTCGTAATGCTGCAATGGGTATTGGAAGGCGAGAGATGATGTATAAACTTCTTACATGCTTACATACTTCTTTACAGATTTAGGAAGAAAATTCTGTTAATGTTTCAGCAATCTAGTTGAGTGATGTTTGGTGGATTGCAAGTACCTCGTAAAATATTTCAGGTACCACAACATTAACATATGTATGAATGTATATATGTATATATGCATATATTTGTAGCAGTATCATGAAATTTCTGTCAAAACCCATACTTTAGGAAGCGGTGGACTTAGAAACGATTCTTAAAGGCGAAAAATTAAATCCTAAATTAAATACAACCAATTATTCTAAAGCAAAAGTCCAATGCATACTGTGATACCTTTTCAAACAATTTATTTGACAATTCAAATGATTCCACATGCATATATACATACATATATACTGCAGCGGTATCATTAAGGGGTTAAGCGTATAATCAGACGCATGAAAAAATAAAAGTATTAAAATTTTATTTCGCCAGAAAATCTTTTCATATCATAAAAGTACTAATAACCAAGTTGCATACATTTTTTTATATAACTCTGAAGGCTAAGGGGTATTTGAAGTATGTATGTCGAATTCCAATAGAAGTGCGATGCAATAACCAACACTAATCCTTTGAGGTTCATCAAAAAATAAATGGGGCACACAAAAGCTATTATTTTTATAATATTCTTTACATGACTAAGACTTCTCTTTTTTGTGAGGGACAAAAAAAATTTCTGAAGATTTTCGGGAACTGAAACTTTTGGACTGAGTAGGCAATTGAAAAGTAAAGTCCTCTCTCAACGAGCGAAGACCAAACTCCACAAGTCTCCTATCATACCCGTCCGACTATATGGTGCAATAGCATGACGATCAACATCTGATGAGTCGGCCGTAAGAGTCTCGAAAAAAAGGTTTTGCGTAAGATTTATGATCCTCTATGAGTTGGGAATGGCGAATACCGCAGCCGATGGGACTATGTAGTCCGGATGGATAATAATAATCCAGTTTTGAAAGTTTCCGATAAAATAACCATCGGTGAAAGTAGAAGAAGAGAGTCCGAGATGTCGCCAGTCTAACCCGACGGTGTTCAAAACACAACGGATCAACAGTGTTGATCAGCACCCCATAGTGAGACCTATTACAAAAGGTAATACAAACACTATGGTTCCAATCGGTTGTGTGATATAGACACACTGGACACCTTGATGAGGCTCGAGGCCCATCTAAAACTTCTGCTGTGCTAAGTTGTAATGCAACTCCACACCGAGTTGGCCACCCACATTCCACACCAACTCTTACCGCATTTGGGCTTAAACCACAGCCACCACGAAACTCCCCGAAGAGCCTTGCCGCAGTAAACAGGTCGAAGCAAGTTCCGAGGGCTCC